AAGTACCTTCATAGTTATCAAGCAGTACGAACAGCCACCCTTATTGAAGTAGAAAAAGTAAAGCAACACTTGCGGCATATCAACAATGACCTCCGGGACTCCTCAGTGGTGGGTCTGAAGACTTGTCCTTGTCAGAATCTGTTGTGTTTTGGTTTCAGAATGATGGAGACAGAGAACAATTAGATTCAAAATATAATGCAGGCTCTGGATGTTTTTTTTTCTTGGGACTATCATGTTTTCCCCAAATGTACAAATGGCTTGACACAGTAAATAGAGCATCTATGCTGTGAATGGAAGAAACAAATTTCCTGCGGGAGCATATCCCCTCAAAGGTCAAAGTATCTATAATGTCCCTTACAAGAAAATTTGCAGCCAGGCTACACATAATCACACATACAGCACCAACACTCATCTACATCAACAGACAGTAAGGCATGATGGCCAGAGTAAGAGTTCATTCTGTTCACTGTTGCAAGAGTTCACCCTGAATATAGACTGAAGTTAAGCTAAGCCCCGAATGTTGACAATGTCTGGCTCCACCCCTGAAATACAATGTTTGATGGCCAGATGTAGTAGCTCCAGTTTCATCTAAATATTAGATTATTGATCACAAAATTTACAGCTAATGTTAATGCCATGTTTTATTTTATCTAAACATTAGATTTGCAGTGGTAGAAAGATAGTAGCTAATGTTATTGAAAATATGATATGTTAACTGTAAACTATAATTCACAGCTAAGGCTACTGAAATCTTAACTTTTGAATCATTATGTTGTCATATTCTTCCCTTTTACCTTACTATTTCTTTAAGGTGACACTTGATGGTACAGTAACTGTCACTGTTTCTTAAACTTAACAGCTAATGTCAATGACTAGTTTTCATTTTAACACAATGTTTCATGGCCAAACTTAGCAGCTGCTGTATTATTGAAAATCTTACATTTATCACATTACATTCAGTTTTGAATCATTATGTAGTCCTTTTTTTCTCGTTACCTCACTATAAACTTTTTAGCTAGCAAAGCTGGCACTTCATGTAAATGTCACATATCAAAGTTGTGATGGCCAGAATAAACAGCTAATGTTACGGTCACTTAATATTAACCTACCAAAAAAAAAAAAATCCTGCCCACCATGTGTCATACGAACCTCTGAAGGTAAGATGGATCCAGACAGTTTGGCAATGGCTAAACAGGAAAATTAATGAATGAGCAGCTGGGCCAAAATCATCCAACCAGCTGGTCAGTTTCGAATCAACCCCTTAAAACCCCTTTGACACAGCATGAGCATACCAACAATGTGTGCATAGTACCCCAAACAACCCAGAATTATGTATATACTGACCACTAAATCAGGTTATGTATACATATGTCACTAAATCAGGTTAACTTGGCAGGACCCATGCTTGAATACATACCGAAGCTGACACTAAATGGGAGTGATGGCAGCGATGTGCTATCCAGTGACTCAGTTAGCTCAGCAAGCTCCTGTAACTCAGCCCTCATGCCTTTACTTCCTCTGTCAGGGTGCTGTCTTGCAAAAAAGCTGCTATAATATGAGCTGACATTGAGATGGGACCTCAACCTGAATGTGAGGTCATTACAACCAGGGGCATCTGACCCTGTGGGGAGTAAAAGAGGAAAAGAGAAGGGGAGAGAGGGATGATCAGTTTGCACAGGATTGGCAGGCAGTCAGCTGCAGTGAGGTGTCAGATGTACAGTGTGGAGATGGCTGTAGTTACAGTTAGAGCATCTCTAGCATCTCTGACCTTCCCTGATTACAAACTATCCTTCCAGACCATCCAGGGTCATTATTCACCTCACTAACTAGTAGAGTAAATCAGTGGCGGAGCGCTGTCCTGATATTAGAGCCACAGCCAGAGAGTAAACAGGGCCAGAGTACAGAGGCTGCAGCCTTATAAATAATCTGTGAGGAGATGGAGCAGGAGCAAGGCGTGGGAGATGTTTATAGCAGGTGGACAAACACCTGTCACTTTGATAAGCCTGATTTATCCTAAGCGACATGTCAGCACATAGCTCTACCCTGCCTGACAGCCTGGACCGCCAACCCCACAGACCTTGTTGTAACAGTGAAGCATGCAGTAAGAGATGACGAAGCCTCTGTGCAGCAGAAACAGCTTCATCGGTTTAAAATATCAGCTGGGAAATGATGGTGTTTAAAGTAACATCTTTGAGGTGGTTGATGGGGATGTTTTTGAGGGCAGAAACTGGACTTTCAGGACACTGCAGCCACTTGTGTCTCCCCTCCTGGTTGTGAGATACACAGGTCTTCCCTGCACGTCAATGTCTGCAGCTCCCACAAGGCAATTAAAAAGATGAAAGAAAAGACACTGAAAACATGTGAGAGATGCGGGTGTGGTGCTTGTAATAAATGAAACTGTCTCGACCCATATTTACCAGCCTGCCACTAACCCTGCTGTGCAGCTCATAATATTATACATTAGATATTGGAAAAATAAGTGAATGTGATGAAAATCTCATTCAGATCTCAATCAAATTCCAAAAATAGGAATTTTCAAAGCAACCTTTCATGATCTTCCTTTTGCTTTCACTTTAAATACACTATGTCTCCTCACAATGTCATAAGCCAGCTGAGGAAACCTTAATTTGTCAGCTGCCATGAGTTATGTTAACAGAAACTGACCTCAATTAAGAGTGACTTGCATTTAAAAAGTGTCTATTTCAGATTTTAAGATTTAGACCAGGGGGAGAGGCTTTAATGGAATGCTGACAGTGGGCCAGTTGGAGAGGTAATACATTTCCCGCAAAATGCCAGGGGATACCACATAAATAAGGCAGTGTTATTCCTGACAGAAACTCTCTATGAAGCTGCGGTGTGATCTATGGCTGAGTGACCTGGTTAAAGAGCAGCAGAAACAGCTGACAGCTTGATCAAGATTACCTCTCTAAAGTGGTATAGATCAAGTCTTTAGCCTTCTTACCAACCCCAGGGGTAATGGTATGAAATGATGATGGTACATTATATTTCTGAACAAAGATATGAGCAGGTATCACTGTTAGCACAGGGATATTGGTGTACTGATATGCCCTGGGGGGTTATTTACCCAGAAGGCAAGCATAAAAAGTGGAAGGATGACAAAGTGACTGCTTCAAAAAAAGCAAAACAAAGATATTAGTTGGTAGGATTATCAGAACAGAATCCATGCATTAGCTCTAAGCCATCCGTAAAAAATGACTACAAATGTATTCTGTCCCGAAGGGAAGTTTGTTTTATATTTCCATCATCTTTCTCAGCAAATCTAAAATTTATTTATTATTACTCAGCAGCTCAATCTATATATATTTGGCCGGTAAAAGTGTATCTTTATGGTTGCAAGTATTAATTAGTGATATTCTGGTATCATTAGTGTAATTTAGTGCTCAGTAGATTAATGGCACAGTGGCATTTATCTATGAAACATTATATCTTGATGTTAAATTGCAATAAAAGAACCTGTATATTCTGAGGATATGGCTGTCCAAATCTATCGAGGGGGATGGGGGTGTAGTTGACATCCATTAAGGAAATCCTTTATTGGCACATAAAAATGAGAGGCAATATTTAGCCTTACTTGCCTTTGGCAACCTAACCCATAGCCTAACATTAAAAGGAGGACTCTTAGATGGAAATACTAAGATATGTCAGCAAAAATTAAAAAAAAAAAAAAAAAAAAAAAAGTGTTCATGCATTAAATCCACAATTCCACATCAATCTCAAAACATGTCATCATTTCATAATCTACCTAAATGACTGAATTATGCAGGCTGATATTGTCAGAAATGTTGCACAAATGACATTTGGTGATCTCCACTGGCTGAATATCTCATTGTTTCACCAAGTCCCTTCTCTACCCTAAAACAAAGCATTTCCTCTCTATATGCCATGTAGTATATTCAATAACTAATTATGGTAATTCATTACATCTCCAATTAGCAGAAAAGCTTTATCGCTGCACTATACCGTAAAGGGCAGGATTTATGTTGGCTTTGAATGTCACCCAGAGGACAGCGGACTAGCTCATCACTCAAGAGGAACAAAACAGAGAGACGGGAGCAAGGAAAAAATAGAGGGAAGAGGGAGAGAAAGATACAGTGAGTTATTGGTTAATGAACACGTTTTCCTTCCCATTTTCTCACAACCTTGAGAAAACCTTGACAAGGCCTCTTTTGTCTGCAGCAAACCAAAAAGGAGTGTATTAGCTTGATAGAAAAAAAATGCTGTACAACTTTGGTTTTTCAGTGAGAGCACTGTAAAAAGATATGTACAATATGTATGTAACCTCAGAGGGATATGCCCAGCTAACGCCACCTCGCCTGCTGTCAAACAGCCCCACAGAGGGTGATAAGCATCCCTGATATCTGCGTGGGTGGCTGTCTTATTAGTGCACCTCAGCCATTTCACTCAGGCACAGCACAGCCAACCATCTGCCACGCTGTGATCCTCTGCCCAGCAAAGTCTCTCAGGGGCCATAAAAAAACACAGTGTCCCTTTGAAGCTTGGAACAAAAGTGCTGACCAGATGAATAAACTCATTTTTAAAAATAAATAAATAATGTTTAATTTATCCAGGAGTTGTGTACATGTATTTAGTGTGCACACAGGATTTGATATTGCCAGTGGCCTGATGTTTATTGCACATTAAAGAAGGCAAATAATGTGATTCCGTAGGCTCTAATATTAATGATAAATGCAGTTATTCCTTACGTCTAAGCTTCCAACAACCCTCCATCACACAGGTTTTTGATTTCATTTCTGCTGTTAACCCTCTTCTTCTTGCCTCGTGGTAACTGTCATTGTTAATCCAGTCTGTAAACATCGTGTGTAAATGTGTGCTTCAAGGTGAAAAAAAAAAAAACTGGCATAAGGTATTTCTGCCTTGAGCGTCTCTGTTACTCAGGTAATCTATGACCTTTGAGAGCCTCTATTGCCACCTTGTGGCTTAAGTGGCAGGGTAATAATAAAATGCACTGATACTATAGATATGTTTCAATCTTTATTTATCTTGCCATTTGCAAATACCAAATTTGCCATAAAGCAGAGCATGAAATGTTGTTGTGGAAAAAGTGTATCTTGTATAGAAAAGAAATACAAACAAGCAGTGCAAAGTAGAAAAATATTCTTAAACATGTGCTTCAGTCATACGAAAACCTTTTTTTTTATCCAATCATCAGTCTCTTACAGCGGATATAGGAGGGAATGATCCTGGAAGATGACACAATGTACCAGTTAAAATAAAGCAGATTTATACCATTTGCATATATTATAATCATTTAGTCATTTTAGTTTTGAACTCAGCAAGTAAAAAAAAAAAAAAAAACTTACATAGGGTGAATTCATAAGGCATAAAGCTCCATCAGGTACTCTTTGGGGACGATTCCTATGTTTCCATTCTTCTCTCCAACCCACCAGCCAAAGTTCTGGTACTCCTGGATACGGGACAAAGGGGAGACATTGAGAGGACGAGTGGGTTAATAAAACACATTCACTAATCTCTTTTAATTCATGTTGTGGATTAACAGATTATTGGCCAGTTATCACACAACAAAGGTAAAGTCAGTCTTAAAATGTTACAATTAGAACTTCAACAATTAACTGATTGATCCATAAAGAGTAAAATCTACTGTTTTGATCATTGTTTTGAAGTCATTTTTTAAAGCAATAATGTCAAACATTTGCTCATTCCATCTTCCCCAGATTGAGGATTTGCTGCTTTTTTATATTCTGACCAATGAGAAAGCTCAATGTGTGGAGAAAGCAGCATTTTGAAATATGAAAACCTTGAGCTGAAGACTTTAAAACTGGACAGAATATCTAAGAAATTAAATCAAAATTAGCAAAGATAACCAGCAGAACAAATAAAAACCCAACATGTGGCCACCCCCAACTGTCACCTATTTACAAAATATTAACTTTTTTCCTTTCACTCCCACATCTGTAACATCCCATAACATCCCACCAACAACTTTACATTTCCTGTTCCCTGTCCTACTTCTCTACACAGTGTCGGATTTGAGACTGAGCACACTCTACTCCACTCCACACAAAAACCTCAGTGTGCACAGAGCGCATCACACATAAATCTGTCAGAGCATGACAAGTAATAGCCCCAAATGGCTGTCAGCATGCTGAGATGTAAGGAGGACACTGTGAGGAGAGATCTGAGACAAGAGGGGAATATCCCTCTCTCTCTCTTTGGCCAAGAGCCTGACCTCACATCAAAGTCTTCCCGGGACATGAATCAACGCTGGAGATCACGTTCTGACAAGGCCGAAGGAAGAGGAACCTGCACAATGTTTCAAATCCAAGGCAGAACTCGGGGACAAGGAGGGACCACATATGTGTCCAGTTATTCCCAGGAGAGAGTAATGGATGCAAGTGATCATGTGGTGATATTAGACACAGGAAGATTACAATGACAATATAAATGGCTAGCACTGACAGTTGTGTGGTGATGGGTCATTCGTCATGTCAGATAAAAAAAGGTCCTTGACTTACTGTCCATGTCACATAGTAATAAGATGAGATGAATACAGTATAAAGTAACTAGTACTTCTAAATTTATTAACAACATTTTAAACATCACAGGAAACAAGCAGAAAAATGTCATATGCATTTCATTAATATGTTGCCTGATGAAAATGTCACCTCTCCACAAGCCCCTGCGGGATAATATAGCAGATTGACATGAGGTGTGTGTAAAAGGGTGTGAGACCCAAGTGTGTGTGTGTGTGTGTGTGTGTGTGTGTGTGTGTGTGTGTGTGTGTGTGTGTGTGTGTGTGTGTGTGTGTGTGTATATTGTGACTTCCTGCAGCTAGCCTTTGAAAACAGCAACACCTCATTGTGTAGTTCTGGCTGACAAATAAGTCATGCTTGAGTGAGTGCGGGACACAACACGAGAACACATATACAGAGCTGTGGAAGACTAATGACACCACACACTGTGACAACACACACATTAACGCAAACACCATAAGCTGGCTGATACCACTGTCCTGTATTTTTTTTTTTATTACTTTTAGCAAATGAGAAGGCTCCCAAAGCCTGGATGGATTTACAGGCACAAACTGTACAAGAAGTGAAAGCTCTGCAGACACAACAGCAACGGTAGCAGCAGCAGCAGCAGCATTATGTTTGGACAGTGTTTACATTTTATCAACCCATCTAGCCACTTTCGTTAAGCGAGATGTTACATTTCTCAATTAGTTTTATGTGCGGTGACTTGGGCCGGGGTGGGGGGTAGGGGCCCGCTGCTGCTGCTGCATATCCGGACAACACACTCTCCCTCAATCCCAGTCAGACCCTATAATCAACACCCAGGTCCTGACTGGGGGGTCTCACAGCTGTAACACTACAGCTATTTCTGGGCTGTGGAATGGGGGAGGGAAGAGGGAGAAAGGAGAATGGGGGAAGAGGGAACGGTGCAGGGGAGGGGGGAGTTGGCTGTCCACTTTAGCTGCAGCTGGCTGCTGCAGTCCAGACAGGTTTTATGGTCATTGCCCTCGCAGCAGGCCACAACCCCCAACACCAAGGTTTCAGCTAATGGCACTCCCAGTCTGAGTGAAAGGGCAACTTGATTCTTGGTCCTTTTCCACAAACACGAAGGAGGAGTAATAAACAGGCATTTGGCCAATGAGCATTGACGGGTCTGTCTGCTTTGTGCATTTGTTTCTTTCCATTAGCGCTAAATCAATTAATCAATTAATTAATCAACCACAAATGAACAATTTTGGTAATCCATTATTTGCTTATGTCATTTATGATACAAAAATGCTTGTTTCTGCCTCGTAATTGTGAAAACTTGATCCCTTTCACTTTGTACTGTGTGTCATACAAAAAAAAGATGTCACCTCTGGCTCTGGCAAATTTTGAAAGATATTTTCCACTATTTCCTGACATTTTATAGACTAAGCATTTAATCAGTTAACCAGTAGTAAAATAAGTGGGAAGTAATTAATAATGAAAAATAATTTGCTCTGCTCTGATTGATAAAGAAATTGAACCATTAGTCCCAATTATAATTCAGGTTTTTATAAAAATAAATAATATTTGGAGCTCAGTAAGTGTTTTTAAGTCCTTGTGCCACTAGATGGCAGACTTGAATTTGAAAAAGGCCCTGGCCAGTTGACAACAGTATGTCTCAGTTGACTACATGCTCCACAGAAACCAAACCAGACAGGAAATATAGCCAGTCTAGATGGTGTACATTTCACACTTTAAAAAAGAAAAAGAAAAGAAAAACACATCCCACAGGTTTCACATGCATCTGTGAAAGTGTATCATTCCTTGACTTATTTGCTTTGCAATGTTCAAAAACAAGCTTGTTAAAATTATCACAACAAAATCCAATTTGGCGTTCATATGAACCAGTTAAGCACAAAAGGCCTCCTGTTTGGTTGCATAATAAAGGTAAAGAACCCCCACCCGCTCCCAGTTCTCCACACCTGGCACCCACACCTAGTCGACAAGCCTCGGAAATTGTGCGTCCACTACACGTCTTCACCTGCTCTAAATAGAGTGTCGGACTGAGCCTGGGTTTCCTGAGAACACACATTCCTATTTGGCGAGGTGAGGGAGATGTCTGAGAGGTGTGTGGGCTGAGGGCTGCCCACTGCCTGGCATGGCAGCAGCGGCAGCGTGCTGAAACAGACCAGATGGAAGTGATGGAACGGCGCTGTGTGCCAGCTAAGCCCAGCCTCCGCCAGCAACACTAAAACAGTTTCCGTTGTGACACAACTAATCCCCATCTCAGTGCCAGAGAGAGTACCTAGCCCAGTCTGCCTCTTACCATCAGCCGTCCACCTCCAGGCGGTGGGCCAGGCTCTGCCAGTAAAGAATGTGAACAGTCAGTTACTCTGAGGGCCTAGAAATAACTCACTTTAGGTGGTCTGAGACCAGCACAACCACTCTGACTACAAACCTCATCTCAAACTTTTGCATTACAGTTGGATATGTGCTAATCCTGGCTTTATCATGCATCAAGAAAACGCTGTTGTTCCACCTCGGACAAGAAGGACTCCCTTCACCATACCTTGCTCAGGATGTAGATGGCATCTCCACGTTTGAAGGACAGCTCATCTGGGTGGTCCCCTGCACAGTCCCATAAGCCCTGGTAGTAGTTCTGGTAGTCTTTGCTCTTATCAACTGGATGGAAAAAATGGGCAATAGGGTGATAACAAATAAGGTGCTTTATTTTCCACTGAAAGTAATTGTTTTTTGTCTACAGGTCTGACACAGCAGTGATTGTTAGTGTGGAGCAGAACCAACAGGAGGCAGTGGAGAGCCTAAAGCAGAATTTGGAGGCAACATGTGCAGAGAGGAGACAGTAGGTGTGTCACAGATACATACCACATATTACTTCTAAACAGCTTTTGAGTATGTTCATACTGAAAGAGTGAAAAAACAAAGTGTACTTAAACCTGACAGAAGCCATACTAAATAAGATTCATTTTTGAGAGTGCTGTTGACATATACTATTTTCTCACAATATAATGCTCAAAGGAAATAGAAAAAAAAAAACACTCCCAGAAAGATCTTGGAAAACTACAAATAAGTATTAAAGCTTAGGAACAAAATTGATGTCTATTTCTGACATTCAATGCCACACTTATTGTATCAATCCATGTTAGTATAAAAAGGTTATCTTGCATTTTTGTATACTGACTGCTATAACGATTAGCATGTATACATACTGTACAGAATTAGTATGTAGGATAGATTTAGGACATGATTCATGTGCATAGGTCAGACAGTGGCTGTGTCTCAATTCTATGTTAATTCTAAATAGATTTTGAGGATGTAGTTCTGTGTGTTCACAATGGCAAAGTGACGAAATTAAGTATACTCCAAAAAGTCAGAATGTAAAATTTAAAAAAACATTTAATTTTTGAATGTGCTGTTATCCCACAGTGAAGTGCATGGAAGAGATATAGAAGATCCAATTGTGGATGGAGGTGGAATAGCTCAGAAAAAACAAAACAAAAAAACAAGATGTTGTTAAAATTGTTTTAAAAAAAATGTGTTGCTTCTCTCTGTTTTCTATCACTGTAAACTGAATGTCGTTGGGTTCTGGACTGCTGCTCAGACAGAACAAGACATCTGAGGACGTCACCTTGGACTCTGGGAAACTGCGATTGACATATTTCACAGTGTTCTGACATTTTGTAGACTAAATGATTAACCAAGAAAATGACTGAGAGATTAATCAATAATGAAAATAATTACTAGTTGCAGCTCCATTGTAAAGCAGCAGTTTGACTGCCTTTACACGGCATATGTATATTAGGTTAGTGAGAAAAAAAAAATCTGTAAACTACAAATATTAATATATAGTATTCTGCATAGAGTTAGTATAAAGTATGGAATTAAGACACAGCTAGTTTCTTGGCAGTTAGTGTTTCCATCCCTCAGTGAAGCTGTTCATCTCCTGTCTGATGATGATCCTTGGTGGAATAGTTTGGAAAGGTTTTAGGAATGTTCATCTACATACAGTAGATAAAAATAGATATTCTTATGGGAAAGTATTTTTGCACTTATAAAACTGTAACACATCACTTATAGTAAAAGGAAGTTGTCTAACTGGGTTGAAAGTTATTTCCAGCATTGTGCTAACTTTCTGTTGCACGCTTTCACAGGGACTTCCTCTTCCTCCAAAAACAAAGTGGGACATTTGCTGGTCACAGTCCCATCCTATATTCTGCATGCATAGTGAAAGTTACTAGTCTTTAAATCATCAAACTAAAAATGCCATTCATATATACATACAGTATATACACAGAGACCAGAGACAAATTTCAGTGCTGTGTACCTGCAGCAGGAGGAGCAGGTTTGGTCGATGGCTCCACCTTCGGAGGAGGCTTTGCTGGAGTGGGCATGTCATCCTCTGCAGAAACAAGACAATGTTGTCAGATGAGTGTGCTTTGAATGAGAGGTTATGATTCTCTGTCTAATTAGTGGCAGCAAAAACATGGAATGGCAGTAAACAAAACCTTTGAATAATAATTAAAAAAAAAAAAAGAATCATGTAAATTGTTCATGTGCTGCAGGGACAATGGAGATCATCGCTGGGATAAAACGTGTGGTCGGACCTGGGAGCTCTTCATAGATGTCTTCGTCAATCGGCTCAGTTTCAGATGTATTAGCTATAGGTCCAACATCATCGTACATCTCCTGGTCCTCGTCATCTTCCTCTGGGATGATCCCCGTCATATCTACAAACAGCCAAATATAATATGTTTTGACTTACACATGGTAACTGTTGATTTGTACACCGGTGCGCACAGAGTATCCGGCGCTCATATTTACATCATTTTGTTCATTTTTAGATTTTTGCATTCTTGAAGAGACAAATGTTGCTGTTGCATGATAAAGCATAAGAATATATTCTCTGTCAGAAACAGTTCAAACCTCTCAAAACAAAGTCTATCTGTTTCACCCATTCCTCCGCCTCTTTCACCGATGACGCACAAAACTGTGATGAAAGACGAGAGAAATGAAAACTGCAGTCAGTGCAATATGCAGTTCTACATATATTAATTAACATAAACAAATAATACTGCATTTATGCATAGTAAAATGTTCCGCATGGAAGAGCCTGAATGTTAGAAACACTCATTTAGACTTTTTAAATATGCGTGACAGGTTGAGCTATTGCAAAGGCAGCAGTGTCAAATGAATGAATAGCTTTTAAAATAAACAAAGATTTAATGAAGTGCAAGTACACGCATGGCTCGCCAAGTTTTAAACATGGCACATCTCAAGTCCACCTTTGTTTTTCAATTTAGGAGCTACATTTACACTCATACCATCACCGGGAGACGAGTGTTTACCTGATAGACCCGCTTGTCTGGAGCCGAAATTTCAAAGCAACAGTCTTTCTTTGAGTCTCTCCGTAAGGTGTTGACCATTTTGACAGAGTACCCATCAATACTGAACTCACCCTTCTGCTGCTTATCTGTTCACAGAAAATTAAAAACATCCTCATTAATGGCTCAGATACAACGAGGGCAACGCCACAGTGACAACAAAGAGTATGTGATTCATAATTAACAGGGAAACAGGGATGGAATGAGAAAAAAAAAGAAAGAAAATTACCTCTCTCACTGCCATAATAGTAGAAGGTATGTTGGCTTAGAGCACACCATCTCTTCTGCCACTCAGTGCCAAAGAAGCTGTGATCTGTGGAGGCAAAACCATTAATTATGTCAGTATTAAAGATCTATGTGTCCATCTCTTTTAATAAATTATTTGGAGGGTAATTAGGGCTGTGTATGTGTATTTCAAATAAATGTGAAAATGTCAAAAATATGCCAAAAGTATGTATCACCTATATTTTATAAAATATAAAATATATGCATGGGGAATTGTTTTGGGATTTGGGGTGTTATTCTCTATCATGTGATCTCAGACTTGACGTTTGCCTGACAAGAGATCTCGTAGGTCAAAACATTGCATCAATACATTTTTTGAGACCATGCAAATTTCAGTGTGCAGACGACCTCTGCTATTTAATTGAAGCTCCCTGTTTCCAAAATATATGCATCTTACTGGCAGAGCACCCACCCTTTCTGCGTTTCTCAAGGTATCCTGCTTTGAAGACAGAAATCAGGTCCTGAGCTGCCACAGGTGGGGACTGCTGGGCACCTGAAAAAGAATTAAGGAAACCAGATGAAGTGAACTCCTGTCAAAGTGGAAATTATATTTGTTTTTAAAACGCTAACCATCACCAGATGGGTTTCTGGGTAACTAACTACAGCTATCATGTATTCAGCTGATGGATGTTGAAAAACGAATGCCCTCCACTAAGCAATGTTTTTTCTCTCACTAGAGGAGATTCCCTTGCAGCATGGAACGTCAGTGCAAGTGTTCAACTGCTGTGTCAAAGTTGCTTTGTGTGAAAGAGCAGCCATAAAACTGGCAGCTGCTTCCAACCCATAAACCCTGGACTCTAATCGCCATTTCACAAGGATTTTCCTGATACTCTGTTTTAAAAAAGCAAATACAAAAATCGTAGATAGATTACCATGATGGAGCACAGAGGATTAAAACTACTGTATGTTGAGGAATGTTTGTTTTTTTTTTCTCAAACTACAGCCATGGCAGTAATTTTCAGTCCCCGGACTGTGGCTGAGAGCAATAAAGCATGCTCTAGCTGTCAGAGGGGTGGGGTGAAAAGAGGTGGTGGGAGTAGGAGTCATGCCTCCAAATTGCTTCCCAAGTATGTTGCCAAGTTACAGTTGGAATGTCTCCTTCATTGTGCCACTCAAAGTCACTTTCTCCAAGGAGCAGATGCAAAGATTTGTGAACTTTCATGTCAAGATTCAATTTTCAATACTTTAATCCGCAGCTTGTTAGCAGTTAGCGAGTCAATTTTGGACGTCTGCTAAGTGCTTGTGGCTTACCTTCGCAATTGTCTTCATCCTTGTCTGTGCGCTCCGAGTGCAGCGACCCTCCATCGTTGTTGCTGTCAATTTCCTCTGAGTCCTCTGAGTCATCTCCACCTACTGAAGTAAACACAAGGAGCTGTGCAGCAATGATACATGGTATGCCGTAACACAGTGGTTCCCAAACGGTTGTGAATGTCTTTGAGGTCTGAGCAGTTCCATTTTCACACTGTTTGGATTAAAAGCATGAAGAGCTAAAATTATTTCTCAAGAGAAAAAAGTAAATGTATTAAGTCTTCAACACTGGAAAATAAACACTGGATTTGTCTTATTTTCTAGAATGGGGATCATTTTGTGACACTTTAGATTCATGTGTTGACATCTTGTGTGGGTTAGACCCCCAGGTTGGGAACCACCGGTGTAAGAGCTCAGGATTATTAAACAAAGAGTAAGACTAACACTCACTTTTTTCCTTAAAATCATGTGGAAAGCTGTTGGAGAGACAGTAAGAGGATGTTAACACCAACGACATTAAAAAATAAATAAATAAATTAGATTTTTGTAACCATATTCAAACAAACAAAGATGTACAATGTAAACAGACATACCCCTGTTTGACCTCTTTGATCCGTTTGATGAAGGCTTCCTTCTTCTCTTTTGCCCTCTTGCTTAAATTTTCTCCTCTCAACCCATCATTGAGGAAATGTTCTAGATCTGAAAACCAAAACCAAACACCAGGTAAATCATTAACACAAGCTGATAGCACTTACTGATGTTGATGTTGTTAGCCTATTTGATGGTCAAATGGCCCAGTCCTGCTTGAGATGTTGCATTTAAAAGCACAACAACGCACTCAAACAGCAGTTTGAAGAGTTTCCTGCCCATTGTTTGACTCTTATCAACATTAAGCAGCGTTTTTTCATCCAAACAGCAGCACAGTGCATCTGACAAGAAACCCAGTCATCCATATTGAGCCTGTGCTTCCTCTTTTCACACAACGGTCTCTTCAAAAGTGGATTCAGTGAAACTAGCCTCTAAAACAAAAGAAAAAGAACACGGAAAACAGCTCAGCGTGTACAAATAAACTAGAGTAAACTACTGGTGCAGCCTGTTACCTGAAATGAGCGTCGTTAACTCCTCAGGAATCGCACGCATTGTGTGAAGAGAGTTTGTTTTTTGGCAGCGGTGGACCGTCCAGCGGCAGGAGGAACTTCACTTGACACGGAAGCAGCAGTGGGCTCAGACACGCGGAAGTTCATCTGCCACTCATTTATCACTGACCAGCCAGTTCCGCTGCAAGGACTGATGTTTATTTTAACATCAGCTCCGTGTGTGTGTGTGTGTGTGTGTGTGTCTGTGTGTGTGTGTGTGTGTTTTAGACTGCTCCTGATGACAGGGGGCTGATGCTTTAATGGAGCTACGGCTCTTTACAGACTAATAAAGTCAGAGTATAATGTGATGATCATATTTTTGATTGATTCCAGATCATATTTCTCTTGGCCAGTCTGCTCGCTGTCACTGGCTCACTGGACACATTGGGAGTGTTTTTTTTTTTTTTTTTTTTTACAAGGATGCAAGCACTTTGAGTTTATGAATATGTCAACACTATAAATCTAAACAGGGATTATTAATAGATAAAAAGGCAATTATGTAAAACTGATGTGGAGGTTTCTTCGGCAGGTCTTTTAGTCTTGGAGCAACAGAGATGTTTCAAAGAGACCGAGCTACTTCTGCTACACTTGTTTATTCCTGCATGACATTCTTAAATATTGGCATCATGATTTGCATCTTATCTGTGAGAGTATTCGGTTGTACAGTCAGTGATGAGCACAATTCTGTGAAGTGAAGAAAAAAAGACTAACTCCTGCTGTATTCAAGGAGAGCAGCCTGTTGTCGTATTGTTTACAAAGGTGTCACTCATTCATTAGTCATCTTTTGACAGGCAGTAACACCCAATCCTGGTTAAACGGCTGAGCCTTTGAACTCTATAGCCTGTTGTTGTGGAGAAATGAGCCTAGAAATGTCAGAGCAGCTCTGGAGGGGCTGTGTGAAGAGCCCCAGCTCTTACTGTATAGCTGCAGGTGGCGGTGTGTTTGTCAGAGCTGCCAGATGCACAGACTCTCCCCACAAACCACTATCCATTTCTTTTTCAGTCCAGCGGCTTTGGAAAGCAAAACCCAGACAGCAGCTATTCTGGTTTTTCTCGTGTGTCTCAAACAGAGAGGAAAAGATGTGTTTTGATGACTGTGATCCAAATAAATATACATCAGGTATGCTGCAATAATGCCTTTCACATTTGCTGTATATCCTCGATTTTAAAATGTTCTGGATTTGCATTCAGAATCATATTTAGAAAAGGAGCACTAGCCATTATAGATCTTGAGGTTATTGTTGTGTGATATACAGTATAATCTTATTCCACACCTCTTTATGCAGTTAAACCTCAGATCATATTCTGCTGTTCCAAAGTTGTTCATACATACATGTGACATTTTGTGATATCACTATTCAGGTCAATAAATTCTTTATGTGCCACAAACTCTCCGCGGTCATTCAAAACCTGACCCCCTCCTGACCTGGCAGCAGTTCCTCCCAGTTTGGAGAGGAGAGGAGAGCCAGCTTGACCTTTGACCTGTGTGTGTGTGTGTGTGTGTGTGTGTGTGTGTGTGTGTGTGTGTGTGTGTGTGTGTGTGTGTGTGTGTGTGTGTGATTCTTTATGTGCCACAAACTCTCCGCGGTCATTCAAAACCTGACCCCCTCCTGACCTGGCAGCAGTTCCTCCCAGTTTGGAGAGGAGAGGAGAGCCAGCTTGACCTTTGACCTGTGTGTGTGTGTGTGTGTGTGTGTGTGTGTGTGTGTGTGTGTGAGTTTGTGTCTGGTGTGCGTGTGTGTGGAGGGAGGGATCTATTGGCACAGTGTTGTATCTGGTTTCCCATGAAGCTTCATCTACTGGCCAGTCATCTCACTGACTCCTCCCTTTGTATCTTTACTTCCCCTTTCATCACTCTTCTTCATTACAGGTTTGTGATCTGCTCACTGTGCTCAGAAGCTGCAGTCACTCACCATGTTCAGCCAAACATTATACAGAAAATGCATGATTTAAATTCACAATGCAGATGAGATATGAAGAACCTGAGTGTAGGAAGTAAGATGCAACAGGTGTCTGCTTTATTTTATGCTAGGAGAGACTGTGGGAAAATAAGTAGACAGACTTGAACACGTTTTTATAATAATAAGCATAGGAGGAGATGGGTTTCTATTTAGTTTAGCCTGCAAACACAGGTCATGGTGACACTGTGTGGCCTTAATATTTTAAAAATATATATGTATATATATATATATATATATATAGCTCAGTGGCTGCAGCACCAAACCAAATCTGACTGTTTCGGTGCCTCCTGGGTTTTCTGCAATTAGCCTACTCAATCCTTGTTTTTCAAATTGTGCACAGTCGGCCATCACTTCAAACCACATCTCAGTAGGAATGACAGTTCACCACCTCACCTCACCTTTTAATTATTGCTACGAGGCTCCGAGCCCAACCGCACAGTCCTGAGAGCAGCAGGATGAGCAGAGAGATACGGAGCCAAGAAATGAATCGTATATGGCCAGCAGACTCTGGTCGCAGTAATTGATCGGTGTGATCGTGGAGCTTGTGAGTCCTGGAACAATTCATGGCTTAAGCTTTTCATCAAGAATTTTCTCTAAATATCTAATAATAGTATCGTTATTTAAAAAAAAAATGCAAACACGGCTGCTGCATCGTGGCAAAGGCTTCTCTATGTGCGCCATGGAGCCGAAGAATTCCTTCAGCAGAGAAGGGGATGGAGAACAGGGACAAGATCCGTCCAGATAAACATATATTTACTTTAATTAACATTCAATTTACGCTAAATGAAAATAATAAATACATTTTGCTATTGAACTGGAATCTGTCCATGGTCTATTTTTGCCTCCGTACAAAACCCAGTTAAATCATAATTTGTACAAAAATGTTCTGCAGCTGTGAATTAACCCTAAATAATTTTAAATGATTATTAAAAAAAAAAAAAAAAAAAGGTTTTGAAGGCCACAATGGCGCAAGGCGCAATTCTTAATTCAAAGAGATTGTATTACATTGCGGATCAGGCCATAAACAAGCACCCTCAGTGCTGTGAGTTTTATAGGCAATAAAATCTAATTTGGGAGCCAAGAAAAGTCATAGCTTTTGGCCTAAGAGTCCTAACAGTCAGTTCTCACTGCTAATTTTCTTTTTCTGGGCTTTAACATGCAGAGGTGATGAATCTCTTTTTCTTTTTCTTTTTTTCTCATGTCGGGATAAAACAGCAGGGAATACACCACAACCATAGTCACGTTGAAAAAAATTTATCTCAACCTCTTTAAAATAAAAAAATATATAAATAATGGAATGCAAATATAATCATCACTAACATTTCTTGCATTTTATTTGTATTTTATAGAGCTGTGGTTAGTGCACCTATTTGGCTGATTGTTTTTGGAAAGTTTGAGATGATAAAATCAACAGTGGTTTAATAATAGGGTGAGGACACCGACATACCCAGGGGTTTTTTAAATTACACCGTATATATTCCCCTCATTTCAATACCGAGATAAAGTGTTTATCTTCAAACATAATTCATTTTTCTTCTAAAACATATGTTTGCGTTTTGCGCAGGATACAGACCTAAAATCAGTAGGTCATCTCTCCAAACCTGTGAAATAAGACAATAGCGCATCTGATTCCAATCAATGCAAAGTTTTATTTCAAGGAAAATATTCTGCTCAGTTATAGTCGAAATCCATATAAAAATAAGTGTGAAATGTCCTCTAGCAGCCAAATGGAATAAACACTCCATGTAGGCATAATAGTAGCTTCGCTGTTTTTGCTTTAACTTACCTTATTTGTGAGCTCTATGAAATAATTCCCCCCTCTCGCTTAAACTGAGTAGCTACACTGACTGAACACAAGTGTCTGAATGAGAGTTAAAACAAATATTTTAGTAACTCAGGTTCTGCAGGTCGATTGTTGTGAGTGTTTCGGAGAACAGGTCAAACGTGTCGGAGGGTAAAGGCAGAGGACTCTGCGATGAATCTGACAAACTTGGTGAGAAAGAGGAGGAGGATGAGAAAACGTGGAAATCCTGCAAAGAGACGTCCAGGCCCGGGGAATTATCATTGTCCGGGCCTATTGTGGACACGCAGATGGGAACAGTGGGAGCCGGGTTTGGAAAATGTTTCGGATTTTTCTCATTGCTGTTCAAAGGCGTAACAGTCTCCCCATTGTTCCCGTTCTGACACTGCTGTGAAGTCAAGGTATTTTGGTGGAAATACCTCTCCCTCTCCAGGAGCGTCCCGGCTGCGCCGCTGTCCGCTGCCTCCTGCTCGAACTCGTCCTCCGGCCCGTCGTCCACACACGCGTATTTCCCCTCGCTGTCCCGGTTCTCCTTGCAGTGGGTCTGCCTCTTGTGTTTCATCCTCCTGTTCTGAAACCACACTTTCACCTGCTTCTCTGTTAAATCCAGCAGAGCCGCTATTTCCACTCGCCTCGGTCTGCACAGGTATTTGTTAAAATGAAACTCCTTCTCCAGCTCCAGAAGTTGGGTGTTGGTGTAGGCAGTCCTCAGCCTCCTGGATGCTCCTCCACCGCCAACACCACCCTCTGGTATCTCTGGTGAACCTAAAGAAATAAACCAAAGATTATTATATAAGCATTTTTTTTAAAATCACAGGAAGGATGGTGATCAAAAAATAAAACAGCAACACAGTTGGAAAACAGGCTCTATGGGGTGAAACTTGTGGCAAGCAAGCACCAGGACTGGGAAGATTTATGGGCCCCAGGCAGAATATGATGGGTCTGCGTGGAAAGGACAGGACGGATGGTGAAGATTAATGAACATGCCAGCTGCCGGCCCGTGTAAAAATAATCTATCACTCTCCATTACTGTCAGACATTAACACTCTTACACTGCATCACAAGTCAGTGCGTTACTTGATGAGATTAAGCATGCTTAAATCAAAATCCTATACTGGCTTAAAGGGACGCCCACGTCGCACAAGGCCCGGGACGCAGCTCCTTGCAGAGGGGAATCCTCAGACAATGAGGAGCCTTTTACACGGAGGTTATTAATCATCATGTCTTGCCTTGGGGGGAGAAGTAGAGTGGTGAGGAGTCAGTCGTTGTCGCAGAGGAAGCAGAGGAAGTAGCAGCAGTCTGGCTCCTCTTGATGCTTTTCTTCTCCTTCATCC